GCCAAAATTTTGATGGTGTATTTTTTCTACAGTCTGAAATTAATTATATAAAAATATTTTAAAATTAGCAGAGTTTTCAGTATTACTGGCCTCATTCACATAGCAGTATTTTGTTTGTTAAGTTAAAACCTGCATTACAGCATTGAAGAGTGCCTATGTCACTTTCTGTATTGTCTTGAAAACAGTCAAACTGGAAATGTTCAGGTTTTAGCTCTTTACATCCATAGAGCAAAATCACTACGCAGAGTGAATCCCTTTTAGGAGTACTGCATTTAGGCACCAGTACAAGGGAAGTATGCCAGTGTCTTTTCTCTTATTGCAATTTTAATACTGAAGTAGAAGATTTCACATATACACAGTTCTCTGAAAATGTCGCAGGAATGTAGGCATAATTTTATCCTCATAGTACATCCAACATGTAAGCAGTAATTCCGTTTCATATATTCCCCCAGACAAAAATAACTTTCCAAGTGTTTCAGAGGCAAAGCTGGGAAATAAAACTCAGATGTCTAGTCTTAAGTACTATACCCAGCACAGATAAGATATTTCCCTTAAAAAAAAATATTGATACAAAAAAAAATTGTAACTTTTTTTCAATTACAAACCTTCCTTTTCATTGGTTATAAAAATCATAGCAGTATAGAGACATGATAAGCTATATAGTTATATGTTACTTATAATCAGCAGGTTATTGGACAGTTTTTATTCCCATCTAATCAACTCTCTAATCAACCTGGCTGAGAATAGCCACTGCAGCAGGATTTCAGCCTTGGTGATATTTCCAAATTCCTGACATTACCGTATCCTGTGGACGTGTCAGGATTCAGCGTGCTCTGAGAGGTAACTGAGAGCGGCTTGTGCTGTAGCACGGCGTCTAGTAGTAGCTAATTTTCACAAGAAGTTTATAAACTACAGTGCAGAAAGAAAACAACTTCACACAGAAATACTTTATGTTTCCTTATGATTTTGATCAATAATCATCTGCACAGGAATTATTTGAGATGTGAAAGAAATTTTGGACCACTTCTGGGGAAAATAGTACTGTTCTTCTACTGCAACTGTTTTTCTAAAGAGAAGAAGCACATGATACTAGCACAGGTATAAGAAAGAGGAGGAAAAGGCATTTTAAAAAATAAATTTGCAGTTTTCAGTGAGAAACAAATAGTGGCAGCATTTCTGTTTAGTATTTACATGTGGATTCCAGATGATGTAAGAGGGGAAAGGAATAAATCCTCCTGGATTCACCTGACCAAGGTGGGTAGCTTAGTCTTAGAGGCATCCCTCTGGGCTATCTTTTCAGTGACTGGCAGGAAATAAACATAGTGAAGTCTTCATTCATCTTGTCCTAGACTAGGTTGAATAAACTGTGTTTGAAGTAGCTGTTTCTTTCCAGCCACTGTTAAGGCGGTGTAGAATTACTGGTTCCCCTGTGGGTATATCTATACAGCACTTGGGTAAGTTTAGGTAAGACAAACTCTACCCCACAATTGACAGCATCTTCAGAGTTAGGCTAAAAGGTTAAAGTGATTTAATTTCCTTTCATTCATTTCCAATAGCAAGTATGTTATTTACAATCCTTTACAAACTATCTGATCCATCGTGTCCAAGAGTCAAGAGCAGTTTATACATTTTCTATTCAAGAATTACTGAATAAAAGTGAAAATTGTCTTGTGCTCAAGGCCCAGAGGAGAGATCCTGTCCTTCCTTGTTAATAATCCTGATTACCACAAAGGATTGCAGAGCCAAATTTTCTTTTCTCTGATATTTTTCTGCAGCTACTACTCCTACACAGTTTCTAACATCTGCCCAAGAGATGGAGGTAATCTAAGCTAACTCAAGAAAAGTAAATAAATAAATAAATAAAAGAAAGCACTGTGTGTGCTTAAAACAGTGGGTTGTTATGCAGTTGGGTGCAATCACAATCATCACATCTGCCTCGCTCAGTTAAGAACCTTACCTCCTTCATGAAAAGATATAAAGAATGTCAAGAAAGATTTTAAATATAGCTAAAGATACTAAAATATGGGAAAATAAGTTATTCATGTATGAAACAAAGGATGCTTGTGAGGACATTAGTATGCTTGCATATGTATTTTATTATCATTATCAAAGAATATAGGAGGCAGTTCAGAAGGAAAAGTGCACTACAGAGGAGCTAAACTGTTCTTTGCATCACAGCTCACAGAAAAGGATCGTGAGAGTATGGTCCTACCTCTTTTTTAAGGAATGATGATAAAGAAGTGACTAATATGGGGTTATTAAAAGAGGAGTGGTTAAGCAAGAAGCCACTAGAACAATTTAGCTAGTCCTTAAGTATAAACTGGAAAGAAAAATTTCAGTGTCTCATTGAAATAATGGGAGATAATGGGAGAAATGTCTCATGAAGACTTAGCTCTGTTCTAGGTGTTGCTAAAAATAAAAGTAGAACTGTAACACTTACACTGTGGGTGAATACAGTAGGCTAAAAACAAACTTTAAAGGAAGGGTAGTCATACTTGTCTACTCTGATAGATTTTCTTTGGCATATCCACAGAGAGGTGAATAAAGAAAAAATGAAATATAAAACCCCTCAAAACCTGGGAAAAAAGTCCTGTCAACAAAGGGAATACAGTGACTCACACATATCTAAGTGATCTTCGCAACACGTGCTTGATGTTGGTATGAACGTGACTCTGTGCAGCTGATCATGGCTGTTTTGTAGGCAGAGTAATGTTCTGGCTGTAGAACTTAGGCTAATTAAAGAACATCTGAGTATATCTCTATATGCTTCTCTTGGATATAAAAAACTGAGGCGATCGCTGAAGAGCCCAAGGATGTGGTTTCATTTGCTTGTTCCTTGACCACAATGTCATTTTAGGAGTTCTTTTCACCCTATTTCTTATGTCACCAGCCAACTCAACTGCTTGTTGGGCCACACGTGAACCAGGTTGTGATCTGATTTGAAATCAGAATAACCCTTTTTTCTTTCGATTTGCAGCATTGCCAAAGGCTTCACGAAGCCCATCCCCCTAAGACCCTTGCACAGCACCTGTGATCATACTTCAGACTGCTGCATTTACTTCACAGTTTCTTGACAGAAGAAAACCTCTATTTCTTTTGTAAACGAGGAAGTGAAGTACACAGATTTGATTGACCTTAGGTCATAAAGTGAATCTGTGGCAGACCAAAGAACTGAGCAAAGCTCTCCATCACCTCGGTACCGTACCATAATCACTGGAGACTCAGGAGTGGTTTGTTATACATATATATATATAAACTTACACATAAGTTGGATATAAGCAACTCTGTGCTGAGAGCTTAGATGTCTCTAGTGACTAGATAGGGGTCAACATTTCTTGCAGCAGCAGAAATAGCTTAGACAGCTTTCCTTTGGGTCTTTGTTGCTAACCCACACTGTCATCTCAGATGACCTTGTTCCACTGTTTGTGGTAAAGGATGCTAAGCCAGATGAAAAAACAAGAAGAAACAAAAACTGCTGGGGTGGGAGGAGCATTATTAGTTTTAGTGATGATCACATCATCAGAACTACTCACTATGAGGCCCCATAAGGAATGGCACTAGCACAGCCAGGGAGGCAGGATGGAATCAGGAAGGAGCCATGGAGGATGGGGAAGGACAGGGGATGCTTAGGCCAACACTGCTGCCAAAAGAAATGCTGCTGAACCAAGCTCTTGAAAGAGTTTCAACCTTCCTCTTGGAAGAGAGGAAGTTTTCCAGAAATCCAGGAGTACTCTGACAGCTTTGTTGTCTTTTGAACAATTCCTCTTTATTTCCAAAGGAATCAGATCGTTGCTACTCTTGGGACTCCTTTGCAAGCTCCTGTTCCTGACAACATTTCTCCTAGCGCATGCTGACTCCCAGTGTGATGAGCGTGAAGTGAACGCTTCCACCGAGGTGTTCTAAGGGATGGGGTTTAATTCATCCAGCTCTGTTTGTAGCCAAGCTACACAACATCATATTAGGTCAGGTCTCCTAGATGACAGCCTTTCCCTCTGGAAACTGTGAACCCAGCCACCTTTATTATGTGCCTACACTTGTAGTACACCCAAATGAAAGAAACTTCATTCTGTGGAGTAGTCCCAAAAGCCTCCATACAGCACAGTAGCTGCCTGTAACAAGCCATGAAAAAGTATTAGGTACAAGAGTGTGAGCTCCTTCTTTTCTGGAGAAGAACTGCCTTTTCTCACATTACAACTGAAGAGAGGAAAGGAGCCAGAAGGAAAATAGACCTTTTGAATTCTCCCATTGCTCATCCAATTGGCAAGGGATATGGTAGAGGCCAAAAAATAAATCTTGGTTTTGCACTAATGACATGGATATTCAGGCCTGCTTCTATCAAGTTCAGTGCAAACAAAATTCCCCCTATCCTTGAATCTGAAGTGCTAGAATGGAATAGCAACCTTTTTCAATTCAAGATCGAAAAATATGCCATTGTCTCTTCAAAATCGTGACACTTCTACAGGGGCTAGCTTCAGAAAGCAGTCTCAGAGTTAGGTTGTAACCACCCAGCTGTTACACAGAAGAAAGTGGTGGACAGCTTATTTTAAATGCTTAATCCTTTATAAGTCAACCAAGGGTCAGAGCACTTAAGACAAACACAGGAGAGAGAACTTGCCTTGCTCATGGTTGTAGAATTTATATTCCACTGTAGACTGGACCTTAGATAAACAGGGGATCTAAACAAAGGACACCACAGTGACTGTCTTGGTTATTAGCTTCCACTACATCACTGTGCCTGAGTTGATTAAAGAGTTGATTAAACCCTAGTGATGTCTTCAGCATCTGTAACAATGGTAGATAATCCTCATGGCTCAACACAAATAAAACCATTGCTATCTTAAAGTAAGCACCTAACAGCGAGACCTAAACAATATGCAGTTGGATTTACTAATCAGGTGGCTAAAAATTAGTAAATGAGCTTGCAGAGATCTGCATGATTTGAGCAGTTATACAGTCTTTCCGCAGAGTGGACATGGGATATTCTTCCTGTGTTTGCAGGCATGAATGGGACAGCCATTGAAAATTTTGTATGTGTCATTTATAATGTTTCCTTCATGAACTGCACTTGGCATGTGGGCAGGACTGCTTCAGGAGATACCCAATATTTCCTGTACTGGAAGACCTCAAGGTAAGTAGGTCTGCTTGAATCTAGGGAATTTTGATTTCTGGTCTGACGTGTGACATTGTCAATATTTAACTGATGCAATATGTCATGTAAAGGAAGGAAGATCTCACAGAATGCCAGAATTACATCAAAGATAATTGTGGAAGGCACACAGGATGTAGATTCCAAAATGTGACAATAGAAAATAAGAGAGCTTATTTCCTGGTAAATGGGTCTAGAAGTGGACAAAACATTCAGTCACATGAGAAGATGATTATGCTGTACAAAATTGGTAAGGATTTTTTTTTTTCAATTTTATTTGCAGTTTTATGCTAAGGGAATGAAGAATACATCCCTGGAAAAAAGCATACATTTGTATAATCCTGCTCCTCAGAACACTTTTTTTTCCTTTTCCCCAGCCTTGATGGCTGAAAAGTCAAAAGTATGGGAATGAACAAAAACAAATTAATGCAGAGACATTCTGAAATCATAGGTCAGAGAACTGTGAACATTTCGGTCAAATATTTATTCTTTGAAAGAAAGGTGGCATCTTTTGGGATTAACTAGCTCAGGATGCCTGAGCGGGACTATCTAGATGTTAGTCTTACATCATTATCTAGTAATTCTGTTCATCCACATAATACAAAAGAACCAATCACCTTAACAGTATGAGCAAAAAATTTCATTTGTTTTAATGGAAGAATGTTGCTAATTTAAAAAAAAAGAAAGAAATTCTGTCTGTTTAATATGCACACAGTATATAAAAAAAAAAAAATCCAAACCTGCACAGATTATATGCTGAATTCAGTAAAATCTAACAAATGGTTTGTGTTTTTTAATTTTACCTACTGTTGCTGCTGATACTCAACTGGAGTGTTAAATCAGGGAGTCCTGCTCCAGAATATGAGGTGAATATAATAATTCTGGTAAAGCTGCATTACATCTTTTTAGACCAGTTGCTTGCTTGAACATTTATATTATAAAAAGGCAGAGTGAAGAGAGCTGATTATTAATCAATGGTATTTCTGATTATATTATTGTAGAAAAACTTACCCCTCCATTAAATGTCACTGTGAACTGTAGAGAAGCTTCTCATGTTTGTGAAATTTCGTGGCAACCACCTCGCACAAGTCACGTGAAAAGACATGCTTGTTTCAAATATGAAATTGTCATAGAAAACAAGGTAAGAATAATTATGACTCTTAATAGTATTTTGTATGCTTGTATTTCCACACATACTACCATACAACCAATACCCTGTTCTCTTTCCCTACTTAACTAGTCTCTCCTTTTTGATATGTAGCACCCCTGTTGCACATGAGTTGAGGACTGCTGTCACTCACAAATAGGGGCAGCAAATTGAGGGAATGTTTTCTGTCCACTGTACAGCTGGTCCTTAAAGAAACTGGCCAAGGGATTCCCCACACTGAGGGTGAATAGCTATTCTAGGACATATAAGGGGATGGCCCATATTACCTGACAACTTTATTATGAACAGTTATAGGATACATCAAATGAACTCTAAATATACTACAGAAAAGCAAAGCTACTGCTAAATTGGATACAACCAATTTGATGAGTCCCTGCAAGGCAGTTTGGGTCCCAGTGTAGTCTTTCAGTCCTACTGCTGTTTTTTGATGAAGTTAGGGCAGGACCTTGGCTCTGTGGTTTTTCTCTCTACAGTCTCCTATCTCATCAGTCACTTTTTATCATGTCTTTCACAAACTCACTTTGCATTTGTTCCTACTTGTAGTCATCATTACTGCTCAGTCAGGTTTACGGTATTACTAAATTAGGTCCAAAGAAGTAACACATGCTTTATTACAAAGGCGCACCTGTAAGTTAGGATGTGCTGCAAGAGCTCTTAGGTATATCCACCTGGACTCCGTACTTTCCATCCTGCCCTTTGTGTATCCAAACTTGCCTTCCTCTCCTATTGCCTCCGTTTACTGACACCAGCGTGGTGTTGCTGAAGGAGTTTAGGAGTTTAGGTTTATCTAAAGTAGGTCTGCAGCATACACAATCAGGATGGTTGACCACAGCTGTCACAATCAGATGTAAGGGGCAGTAATACAGCATCTGTTCATTGTGGGTTTTTGTTAAGTTCTGTGTCCTTTCTTTTTAAATTAAAGTGGAAAGAGCCATCCACGTCTTTGAATAAAAAGAAATATTCTGTCAGATTGTTGGAACAGGATATCCAGGTTTTCCAGGTCTTAACTGTATATGGTTGTTATTATACATTTCAGTAATTGCAAGTATTTTGAAGACTTCGATGAATATGGAAAGTAGTACTATATCTATCAAAAACAAAGTTTGAAATATTTGCAGAAATATTTGTGAGTTCGTTGTTCCAACAGCAAAAAATTAAAAAAAAAAAGAAAAAGGAGACATAACAGCTAAATTAAATGTTTAAGAATGTAAAAGCTACACAGACAAAAGCTTTAATGGAAAAAACATTGTCCCAGTTTACTAGTATTTTTTTAGATACTTTGTTTTGTACAGGTAAAATGTACAATTTTAACTGGTGGGCAACCTGAGCCTTTTTTTGTTTAGTTCTTTGATACTCAGTTCTGCAATCAAATTTAAAGGGTACAGCATTTCAGAGCACCAGTGATGAGGAGAAACCTTTTAGTGGAAGAACAGTGTGGTGGGTTAACCCTGGTTGGATGCCAGGTGCCCACCAAAGCCGCTCTATCACTCCCCCTCCTCAGCTGGACAGGGGAGAGAAAATATAATGAAAGGCTCGTGGGTCGAGATAAGGACACAATCAAATCAGAGTAGGATAATGAGAAATAAAACCAAATCTTAAAAACACCTTCCCCCCATGCCTCCCTTTTTCCCAGGCTCAACTTCACTCCCAATTTTCTCTACCTCCTCCACCGGAGCGGTGCAGGGGGGCAGGGAATGGGGGTTGCGGTCAGTTCATCACACATTGTCCCTGCCGCTCCTTCCTCCTCAGGGAAAGGAATCCTCACACTCTTCCCCGGCTCCAGCGTGGGGTCCCTCCCATGGGAGACAGTTCGCCACGATCTTCTCCAATGTGAGTCCTTCCCATGGGCTGCAGTTCTTCATGAACTGCTCCAGCGTGGGTCCCTTTCACGGGGTGCTGTCCTTCAGGAACAGACTGCTCCAGCGTGGGTCCCCCAGGGGGTCACAAGTCCTGCCAGCAA